TCCAGTAGGAGGCAGCGGTGAGCCTCAGCTCCAGTAGGAGGCAGCGAGTGAGGAGGAGGAGGAGGAGGGTGAACAGCTGATGACTGTAGTGACGGTGTTTAATGTTCCATGTTGTGGTTGTCTCCTCTGTTTGAACCTCAGGGCCTCCGTACTTCACTGATGATCCATCATCATCATCGTCTTCACCACGTTACTGTCATCATGGTTACTGCAGATTAACCACCTCCCCACTGGACTCTACTGATTCCTACTGTACTATCCTGTACTTTACTGAGTTCTACTGTACTCTACTGAGTTCTACTGTATTCTTCCCTATACTTTCCTGTAATCTACTGATTCCTACTGTACTATACTGTGTCCTACTGTATTCTTCCCTATACTTTACTGTATTCTACTGAGTTATACTATACTCTCCTGTACTTTAAGGATTTTTATTGTACTTTACTGAGTTCTACTATATTCTTCTTTCCAGTACTTTACTGATTTCTACTGTACTATAATAAGTTCTACTGTACTCTTCTTTACTTTACTTGACTGTACTCTTTTCTCTACTGCACTTTACTTAAGTTTCGTACTCCACTGGGTTCTGTTTTACTGTACTGAGTTTTTCTGGACTCTTTTGGGTTCCACTGTATTTCTACTGTACTCTGAGTTCTACTGTACTCTGAGTTCTGCTGTACTCTGAGTTCTACTGTTACAGTCCGTCCTCCTGTGGTCTCGTCCTCTGTGCTGTTGTTTTATTTCCTGTTTTATATGCAGCCCATTTGTTGGAAGAGGTTTTTTCACAGCCCACAGGTCTCTGATGGGTTTCCATAAAGACCGCCGGGTCGGTGCTGTCACTTCACCGCCGCATCGTTCTCTGTCACGCCAGCGTGCTGACCAGAGAGAGACCCCTGTTACACTTCCACAGCTCGTTAACTTTTAGAGGTCATGTGTAGAAGAGTGCTGTCGTCACATTATTCTGAGTCTGTGTGCGGAGAGAAATCTGCTGCGAGCGAAGTTCAGTCTGAATAAAACCAGAAGAAAAACTAACAGCTGGAACTGTTACCATGACAACAGATACCATCACAACTAACCTGCCCCATCACAGCCGTTACCATGACAACTGATACCATCACAAC